GACTCTTGGCGATATTGAGAGTTGATACATGACCGGGATGTCAAAAACAAGAACAGTCATTCACATAAATTATAAATATTTGTTGAAATAAAAGGTCTAACACTTACACACACCACCAGCAAGCAGCTGGTATTGAATAGAAGTCTGAGTGAGGTTCGTCCTTTTCCAAATAGTACATAATAGTGGAGAAGAATACAATACCCGTGAGTAGAAACATACTCAACATGCTCAACTCGGTAATCGACGATTTGAGCGTTTGCCCAAATGTCTGCAAGCAAATTCACAATAACACAATGATTTGAAAAACAGTTAACTTTTTTGGAAAACATTTCGCATAGAATGTTGTCAGCGCTATATCATAGGAAATATATGAAAAAATATGATTCTCAACAAAACAGATCAATCCGAAGCACCATCATCGAGCACCGAGACAGACTTTAATTGACGGTTACCGCTGAAGTTATCGGCGATAAGGATAGGAGACAGTTGAGTGATAACCCAATTAGCGCGGATTAGTTTAGCCGTGGAGCAACCAAGTATAGAACTCATCCGGCCCCGCCTCCCCTTCATTTCAAGGCGCAGATACTTGTTAGTGGCTTGATCGGTGGTTTGCTCCGGTTCATTCATTTTTTATTTTCTGTCACTTCGGCATCCATCTTTTCATAACTGAACGCAGTAACCCCACCAATTTGATCTAAGATTGTTGCTCAAAAGGTCGGCTTTCTCTTTTCCATGACACTGGCTTCTTAATTTACAACCCGATCAATCACTTGTGTAGGTGAGCTAGTGTTTGAATGGATAGTTTCTCAGATGGCTTTCGTCATTGCGGGCTTTAGCGAGGGCGACAATGCCGAAACGTGAGCTGAATAGAAGTGTTGCCCATCTCAGTGTAAGCTAACCATAAGCTTACTATAACTTAACTAGCGAGTACTGTACTGTATACCAGCTTTCGTGGACTGTAATAGGGAAATTAGTGGCCGGAAAGCTTAGTAAACTAACTATTATTTATGGCTTTCGGGGTGATTTAATAAAAAATGCTCTTTCCAAGAATGTGACCGGCTATGCTTGATAAAGTATAGGCTTATTCACATGCTATAAGCGTTAGTAGCGCTGACAAAAACGGATGATCTCCTACCTGCAGACTACTGCTATACCGAGCCAGCTTGAACACTCGAGCCATTTTCAGAACACGAAGCACTCTAACAACTAACATTGCTCCTGAAATGGTCAATATGTAATGCGATGGCTGTAATTGAACACATCACATCAAAGAAATCTCCGTGCCGTGCAAATGACGTCAAACGACAGAAAAATTCAGCGCACACTCTTCAAAAAAGTCACGCAGTAAAAAAAACACGAAAACTTTACCCATCCATCTCTGCGCTCCCCTCGCCAGTTCTTCACCTGTAAACGTTCAACAAAAATTTACCGTTGTCAGTTGTGCTATTTGCACGTGGAAAAGGAAAATCATAGTGACTCAAGTGGTTCTATGAATACAGGGGGGCAATAAAAAAAGACATTTTGTCTCCACATTCAGATGGATTTAATCACACTTTGCTCAATTCAACCGAATGGTTCCAACTTAGTATTGAAGAGCACATTTCCATTCTATAAGAAAATCTTCATAGTGGCCACCTACGTGGACGGCATCAGAAGAATTTGCCCTGGAAACATGGTGCACTGGTCGAGCTCAATGGGGTCTTCGAAGGATCGTGTACCATAACGACCTTTACTGGAAAGCTAGTTTCGAGGGGATTTGCATAGTGGGAGCTAATGCCTCTAGAAACTATCCAACATTGAATCGATTCACGAAATTACGTAAGAGCTTCAGGCTGAAGCAGTTACGGTAGCCTCCTTGAGCTTGACGACGATGACAGACGGTGAGGGCAGTGAAGGAGGGCCTGCGTTCACTTATAGAGGGACATTTAGGGAATATTTTGCTGAGGAACTCCCGTCAACGACGGCAATCTCTGCGAAAAAAGGGCCGAAGTGCGACATGGGCAAAATGTCTTTTTTGCCCCCCCCCCCCCTCCTGTATACGCCTACAAAATGACTCTATTCTTTGAGATGGTCTTTCCTTCTTAACTGCCTGGACCCTTGTTTTTGTTCAATTCATCGGGTTGGGATTGTGTCAATTGAAGGGCCCTATTGCACATTTGTCCAGTAACAGTTCCTTACTTGTGAGCGTTTCACTCAGAGAAGAACTCCACGGACACAATGCTACATCCACTTGAAAATAAAAGTAGCTCGCGGAAAGAGGAGAAGATTCGTAGAGAAGCGCGAATAGGGCCTCTTGTTCAGCCCGCTTGATCTTCGCTCAAAGGCGAACTGAGTGGTGAGGCGAAAGGACCGCAAACAGAGGACGAAACGTATAATGATTTACTCGGCAATGCATTGGTGCCAAGGTGTAAATCCATGCTTGAGTTGCTTCAGTTGTGCTGCTGCTCGCAAACCCACGACAGTGGCTACTCCGAACCACCAAATCAACTAGTGTGCGGATCATACTGAGACTGAGTGCTTTTGAAGTCCTGCTAAGCAACCAGCGCACCTCGGCGTGGAGCGCTACTCTCGCTCCTGAGAGGCCAATCTACACTTCGGTGTACATATCTTCCCCATGCTCTCCTTCTTATCGCATCCGCTTCCTATACGCTGGCATTAGTGCCAAGGCCAAGTATTCTGCTTTCAAGTAGGAAGAGAAGTCCAACAAAACCATCGACGGACCGGAAAGGCTAGCCAACGGCGCAAGGCTGCCTTGAGCTGTCGCGCTCCCTCTCCATTCCGTGATAAACAGCCCCGTCTCATTTAAGACATCTCACCTCGCCGTCTCTGTCGCAGCCGGTTCTTTTTTCATACACAAGCCCGAGCGTCAGAGAGGGTTATGAGTTTTCTATGAGCGTTTTGCCTTCTCCTCCCACCGGCGGCGTTCCGTGCGAGTTGAGCAAGGCGGGGGGTGAATAATGATCGAGAAAACCCTCGCTCATGGCCCTTCACTGTGTGAGAAAAGTGTCGACAGTGAATGTAGGCGCGTGAGGGCTTGACTGAAAAGGCAAAATCTCAATCCTCGGCAGATTTTCACCTTGTTCATTGCCGTTCATGCCGAATTTTCAAGCAAAGTAACCACTGACTTGATGCCGACTGTCTTCCTCCGGATTTTAGACGAATTTGGAAACACAAACACATATAGAAAGTCTAGGAGATATTGAGTACAGAGAATAAACCCGGTATGAGAGAACACATGCACACAGACCACCGTTATAATGGTCAACGGCCAACTGCACTCAGAAGACCAAACAAGTTTGTTGTTGAACTTACTTCCACATCTTCAAAAATAGCAGCCGCTGCGGCTTAAGCCTTCTGAGCTAAATTAGCGAACCAAGGTTTGCATAAATATCCCACCTGTGATCTCCTTGAAGTGAGATTCGACACCGGCAAAGGGCAGACACATCTCCAAATAGAAGGGCAGGATCGTCAGCATGTCGATTATATTGAGAGTTTTCCGAAGGAACTCGCCCCGCTTCGGATAGATAATAAGTCTGCAAACAGAACATGATGTCAATGTTCGGCAGTTTCCATTCAGGAAAGTGTGCATAGATATGAACATAGAAGTAGTGCAATGTATCGGCATCAAGGCTCGGCCACATGCACCCATGCAGGCATGAAAGGGCGAGTTTACGATTGGAAAGCAGACCACTAGAATCAAGGTAGAGGTGGTCAGTGGTGCCGGGATGAAGAAAAAACATGAGAAACGGCCAGAACCCGAGAAATGGGACCCTTCCTTGCCCGTTGATTTCCGCATTGATGCGACTCTCATCGGTGCTGCCCTCTTCAACTCTCCGCTAAACGGACACAGATCTGCGACGCAAGGTTAGTCGGTCGGTGGGCGTTCCGCATCGATAGCGCCGCGGGGATAACCATGCTATGCGCTGTAAACATACCCTTGGCTGTAAATTGCGTGTCGGTTCACGCTATTAGGAGGTTCAACTCTCTTTCGACTTGGTAAATTTCCCTTTCTTCGACCTCCAAATCGTGGGAACTTCTCTCAAGGAAAGCAACTGTTCATATCCTCTGGTGGTCAAGCAGTACTTGCCACTAAAAGGTTAAACGGGGTCTCTACGAAGAACGTTTGCCATAGCCAGCAAGAAGTCATCAACGCTTCACAATTAGAGTGAAACCGAAGCCACCCCCTGCAAGGGATAATTGATGTTACAGCAGTTGCTTCCATGGTACGTCCGCACCTTCAACTTGACGCACCAGCATGCCCAACCACGTGTCACGTTCGAAAGAGTTCTGAAATTAGAACCTCTCTCGGGACGGCCTTACCCACACGATCTCACCAGCGGTCCACGGATTTCTTAGCGTCGTTGAATCAGGTTCATCTTCCAGCAGTTTCTACTCCATTTCTCCTCTCGTTCGACTCCCTTTCGAAGTTTTGAGGGCAGATTATTCGACAAACTCTCGAATCTACTCCAAAAAATTGCGATGGGGTCGAACAAGAGGAGAGAAGGAGAGGAACAACACAACATTCGA